GCCTAGAATACAGAGGGTGTTACTTAGTTCATAAATAATCTTTTCATTTTTGTTCTTATAATATATTTATACAATTTAACTGATACGTTAACATACAATATATACAGTGCTTTTCAGATAAAACTATCCACCTTAAATAACTTTTGAACTTCTAAATTTTAGGAAAAACGCAAAAAAAACGTCAATTAATATTTGAAGGGGGACAGATTACACCATATTTAAGGTTGCTGGGAAATGCACCCTTTCACCCCTCGTATCATCCCTTTATTTTTTTTTAATTACTTCCCCTTTTTTTATTCGATATTTGGATTCTCCTCTTTGTCCTGATTTTAGAAATGTATACTATATGATGCTTCAAGTGATTAGTGTATGAGAAAAATAAATACAAAAGCAAGAAAATTTGATAGAAAAAAAATTATTTTTTAAAAATTTATTACACACATATTTCACTACTAAAATTTTTTACAATAATTGATCAAAATGCATTTAATTGTCGGCATTTATCCTTTATTCTTTGTCGTATATCATCCAGAGATTCTGGTTGAATAGCATAAATTTTTGTTTTTAAATACCCTTTAAAGAAGAAGTCTAGGGGTGTTCAATCCGGTGACCTAGGTGATTAATCGATCATCTATCGTCGTCTTCACCCTATCCAAGGACCAAGGAACGTTTCGTTTAAAAATTATCGCACAGGTAAAGCAAAGTGTGGAGAAGCTCTATCATGTTGAAATACAATCTAATCTTCGGAAAGGTTATCCTTCTTCTTCTTAAGGTGCCGTGCATTTCTGCGTAGGCGTCCACCGTACATCGTCTTGTCAGGTGAGATGTTAAATATTCTGGATTAAATAATTCTGTTTTTAGCAGCATTGCGAAGCATTTCATAGCTGTGGATTTCTGTCCATTGTCGAATATTGCGCAGCCATGACATTTTTTTACGTCCGAGACCTCTCCTACCCTCTATCTTCCCTTCGAGTATCAGTTGCTAACAAGTGTATCGTTCTCCTCGTATAATGTGCCCCAAGTATGCAGTCTTCTTACTTTTAACATAGTTAAAAAGTTCCCTATCCTGTAAGCCCGCTCTTCTGAGTACTTCTCAATTTCTGACCCTGTCCGTCCATGATATTCTGAGCATTCGACGCAGGCACCACATTTCGAACACTTCAAGTTTGTGAATGGAACTGGCCTTTAACGTCCATGCTTCCATTCCGTACAGGAGAACAGGCCACACGTAACACTTAAGCATCTTGTATCGGAGGTTGAAGTCCAATTTGCGATCAGTCAGAAACTTACGAAGCCTCAAAAAAGCATTTCTGGCTTGTTCAACTCTGCTCTTTATTTCATTCTCGGGGTCCCAACCCTCATTCAGCAAACATCCCAAGTATAAGGTTATCCTTAACTTTTGATAAAACTTTAATAAAAAGTGAATTTTTTTATTTCTTGGTTTTTGAAGGTACTACAAATAGTAAATTATGCTACAACCTATTTTGTTACAGTCATTTAAGGTGAGAGAGATAGTACCCTTGTTAACAGGAAAATTGTCTGTCTCATAAACTAATCACTTCAAGCCAAAGGTATTATACATTTTTGAAATCAACACAAAAAGGAGAATCTAAATATAAAATAAAAAAGGGGGAAATAATTTAAAAAAAATAAAGGGTTGATACAGGGGGTGAAAGGGTGCATTTCCCAGCAACCTTAAATATGATATAACGTCTCCCCCTTCAAATATGAATTGAGGTGTTTTTGCGTTTTTCCAAAAAATTAGAGGTTCAAAAGTTATTTAAGGTGGATAGTTTTATCTGAAAAGCACTGTATATTTATTTCTATGTACAAAATATGATGTTCCTCAAAATAGTTTCTGTTGCCAAACCGTACATATTTTGGTTTGTGTTATAAAGTCCTTTCGATAATTATTTGCACATCTGTAACATAAGTGATATACTATTTTTTTCAATCATACCTCTTTTCTAGTCATAAAATACAAAAAAAATTAAGTAAATCTTTTTTTTCCGTTCAAATCACAAAAAAAATTCGCTGGTACTGAAAATAAATAATTTATCTAGTTCTAGTGAAATACGAAAAATCTGTACGCCGTAGAAAAACATATTTAAAAAAAAAATTTTAAATAAAAATGTTTGTTAGCACTTTTTGTGTATAATGAACCGTTCTCTAAAAAACAATTCTTGAGGCAAACAGCGATTTTGAATGTTGTAAGGTTATTTGCACATAAACCAATTTTGGACGGCCGATTTTATACCGGTAGTCTTACTTTCAATAGTGAACCACACGCGGATTGCTGATCAGTGCCAGGAACATGAAGCTGATCACTGTCACTACATCGCCAGCAGTACCAAGAAGTCTTGGCTTATATGACTAAATACACGCTTGAACACGCACTCGTATTTCATTCGATTACTTGGTGAAATTGTAGGTACTACGTCTTATATTAGTTTTTATAGTGCGATATAATTATGATTTCAATTGGTAATTTGTTACTAGTTCTTCAAAAAGAATGTGGTATGTGTATTCTGTTTCGATTGTTAGGATGAATCCAGCACTTGCGTTTAATCCTACGAGGCTTATGCGATGCAATAACCACATAGGAATCAATATTTTAAGATTCATTATTATTCAATAACCTCTTGTTACGACCATAAAGCAATTAATTGTTTCACCGGTAAAAGCCTGCTACCAATAAATCTTTTAATCAAAGTGTTCTATCGACAAAAATCACTATGCGTTTTAATAAAGAAGACTGCAGCTTCTGTATGCAATTTTTTTATTCTGCCGCAAATAAAGTCAGATTCATAAAGGTGCTGAAAAAATAATCGGTGCATGATTGTTTCCAGTTTTTATAATTCTCACAAAATCAATAAAGCTACTGGTGCACTTATAGCTGAGCAGGATGTTGCACTTGACTTTTTGGGTATTGCTACAAAGGTCGATTGAAATTGTTAAGCAATTTCATCGTAATAAAGTTATTTGTAACAGTATGTTTACGTTAACCTAGAACACATAAACAATGTGGCATACAAGAAAAATAGAAAACCAACCTTGGCATTACAACTGTACACTTTGCTCGACGTTCTTTAAATCCTTCTGCGGGAAACACTCAGCCCCTTGTCCCTTCTAATGTGACCAACATGACTATTCTAACGTAAAGGTATTGCAACTTTCTATTTTTAATTCTCGAATAGGAATCTATATGTTTTTTCCTTTGTCTTACATTTATATAAATATTTTTTAAGTTTAACATCCGTATTTAGCGACAGAAGAAATATATTCACTTAGATTTCATTTTACCAGATTTAATAATATTTATATAATTAGATTTAAGGCAGACTCTTTCTGTGGCTTAGTGGTAAGAGCGCCTACTTTTAAACCTAAAGGTCGTGAGTTCGAATCCCATCTGGGTAGAGAAATTTTTGTTTATTAAAAATTAATGAATGAAAATAATCGTACCATACCAAATACCAAATACCATATGCGATCGGTACTCACGCAGACGTTCGGATACAATTAGCGTCTCTTAGCAAAGACAATGACGTCGACTTTGCTAAGTATCAAGACAATTACTCTACACATACACACACACTACACTAGGTACCTGACTGTACCATGCCAATGATCATAGTTGTCGAGGCATTAACTCAATAAAAAAAAAATTTAAGGCACCTGCTCGGTTCTGGCTTTGCTCTTAAACATTTTAATTTATATTTTATAGTTTTGTGTATTTCATCTGTAAGATATTAAAAATCTGTATTACTAGCTACTAAGAGTCTCAGAATATCAGTAATGCAAATATTTTAGTAAACCTATTATTAATTGATATTCTCGTTTAAAAAAGTTAACAAATATATAAAATACTATCTTAAAATGAAGCTTGTCGGATACTTCGTTTTCTCACCAACTCCTTCAATGTAGGGCCGTGAATTAGGACACATACCTGTGCTTCATTTTAAATATATTATTACTACATAATTATAAATAAATAATAAAATAAATAAATATATAATTATTATATTATTAAAGCTGTTTTTTAATCAGTGAGAAAGACGTATATTATTGATGATATCATCATAGAAATCATGGTGCTACAATCTTTAAAGGGTCAACATTTTCAAGCGTTCTTCTTCGTCATTTTACTCTGTCTTTTGCTTGGATTTTCTAGTTGGCAACATTACTGTTCTTATTGATAGCGTCGTAAAGACTTAGTCTTACGATACTGACATGTGCCGCTTTAAATCCAGAAACAGGTATTACGTATCTATCTATAATAACTTCTCGCGTTTTTTGCAGAATTTGTCGTAGTGTGAAAATCTGGTTAATATTTCACTGGATATTTAAACTTAAATGCCTGAAACCTACCTAATTATCTCCCAAGCATGCTTTGATACAAGGATTCAATGTCGCATGCGAGATGTTTGACAATATCTTGTATGCTATATTTGGGAGAGTTGTTTAGCGCATAATATTGCATTATTATTGTATTCTAGATCGTACCCTATTTATGGTACGAACGCATTAAGCCAACTTTAGTCCCTATCTCCAATACCGCATTGTTACAAGCCAAGTACCAATCTTTTAGTTAACAGTCTGGCTTTTTTGTCTAGAGATTCTGTCGTAAAAATATGTTTTAATGAGATAAGGAAGTTAACTTTAAGGAAGTTAGCTTTATACCTAACCCCTAACCTAAAGGTTTAGGACCTAGAGCTCATTATTAATAATATTAAAGGCAGAATGTACCAAAGAAGCTACAATAATCAATCGTTTTGTATATATTTCGATATCATATAACAATCATTAATCTTCCACGAAGATTAATAAACGCGGTAAAAGCACTCTACAAGAATAACGAAGTAGCTATCAAAACGGGCAATAGAATATGCAGTCCCCTTAAGACGACAAAGGGACTACTACAGGGTTGCTCCACATCCCCCACCCTGTTCAAAATATTCCTGGAAAAAACCCTGAAACCAAGGCAAAAAAAGTGCGAAGGAATAGGTATACCAGTAAGGAACGAATATCTATATACGCTTAGTTTTGCTGACGACCAAATAGTGATCGCACGAGGATGATCTCAGTTTTATGATGAGAAAACTGGAGAAGTAATATACAAAGAATGGGATGGAAATAAACCTAAAGAAAACTGAATACCTAATAACGGAGAATACAAAAATAAAACAGCTGGAAATAGAAGAAGGTAAACAAATCAAAGGTACAAACAAGTATCAGTATTTAGGTTTCATAATATTAAACAAAAGAACAACGGAGGAAGATATAAAAAATAGACCAGGACAAACAAGAGACTGCATACGAAAATTGAACCCGGTACTATGGGATAAGAACATCAGCATGAAAACAAAGAAAAAAATATATAATACCATGACAAGAAGTATCCTCACTTATGGGTGTGAAAATTGGACAATAAATAAGAAAACCAAAAACAAAATAAGAGCAACAGAGATGGAATTCCTAAGGAGAAGCTGCAGACTAACAAGAAGAGATAGAATAAATAACATGGGGATTAAGAGGAGAATGGGAATAAACTCCGACATAATAGACTACATCGAACAGAAGAGGATAACCTGGTACGGACATGTCAGAAGAGCAGACCAAAATCGGTGGATAAAATAGAATAAGAGAGTGGAGCCCGATAGGAAGAAGAAAGATAGGCAGACCCCGAAGATCTTTCAGAGATGAAGTGGACGAAGCAATGAGAAGAAGAAACCTACAGGAAGGGGACTGGCTAAACAGGAAAATTTGGAGAAAACGGTTGAGTGAAGGAATACAGTGAAAACTGTGGAAAACCTTATATATATATATATATATATATATATATATATATATATATATATATTATATACATATATATATATATATATATATATATATATATATATATACATATATATATATATATATATATATATATATATTATAATAAAATATAATATTATAATATAATAAAATTTATTTGAAATATTATCATTACAGCTGTTTCGGCTGATTGCCTTTCTCAAGTGATCTATTTTGGCTTGGGTTTACAAATTTATAGTCTCTAATGAAATAGGTTGAGGAGGGGAGAACTGTTTGTCTCAAGTTGGTCATTCAGAATTATATCTGTGTTTTTTAATTTGTTGATTTCCATAGATTCTAACAAAGATAGCTTAAGGCCTTTATTTTGAATGTGAAGAATTTTTAATTTGTCATTAAAAGAATGATTATGATCTAGAAGGTGAAGTGCGTATGTCGAATCAGTTTTTCTATTCTTGAAAGCCCTTTTATGTTCTGCTATTCGTTTATCAAAGTTTCTACCAGTTTGACCGATGTAAGTTTTTGGGCAGTCGCCACATTCAAGTTTGTACACACCACTATTTAAGTGTCTTTTATTTTGGCTCTTGTTATTTTTAAATTTCAAATAAATTTTGTGGAAGTTTGTAAACAGAGTTTTCAGTGTTTTATTGTTACATATATATATATATATATGTATATATATATATATATATATATATATATATATATATATATATATATAAAACTGTTTTGGATCGTTTGGAGTCAATAAAAGGGGCTATTTGTTGACTATTTTTTACTCGAGCTTTCAATTGTGATTACAATTATTATCAAGAGCTTCTAAAAAATACAAAATATCTTACAAAGTTGAACTAGAAATAAAAAAATTTTGTTAACTCACCAAATAAAATTAGTTTGTTATATAAAACTGCTGCTTACATAATAATTAAAAAAATATTAATAAAAAAGATGTCCTATTCTAATAAAGGTCTCTCTGAAAAATTTTGATAGTTTCTTAACAAAAACAATTGAATTTGTAAACAAAAATTGAATAGCTACAAACCGCCTAAATGTCATAAATACTAACTTAAAAATTTTTATTTTTGACATATTGTCAAAAATAAAATTTTGTTTAAAAAATTCTTCTTTGTTTAGTAACAAAAAAGAAGAAGATTTATTCACCATTGATAGATGCCCGAAAAAATGTAACAAATACATGGAAAATTCAAAAGGTGATATTTTACTGACTGCATATATAAATTACATAGAAATAATATAATTATAAATTTTGCTTAGATTTTGAATTTCTGACCTTTTGTTTAAATTATTATCACTTTTGCTAATACAAACCATTTCCAAAAAAGTTCTTTTAAATGTATTCCTTTCACTACATAAAATTTTAATATTATCAAAATCCATAATATGGTCTTTGTCTATTACATGCTCTGCCAAAGCACAAGATGGTTTCTTAATTCTGCAATCACTCTTGTGAGAAATAATTCGATTTGAGAGATTTCTTCCAGTCTCACCAATATACTCAGCTTCACACTGAGTACAAACAATGCTGTATACTACATTTAAATGGCGCTTACTAAGCCCTTCACAAAAGTGATTGTAAACACAAACCCCTAGCAAAAAGTTTGAGTATCCATGTCAACGATAATGACCATCGGGTCTTATACAATGAAACTATAATTCTAGATAAAGCTGAAAAAGAAGCTCATCGAAAAATCCTAGAAACGTGTTACATCAATAATTGTTCTAATTCATTAAACCACAAAAAAGATGTTGATTACTTGAGTTCCATCTATACTTATGTTTTACAACAGAAATTCACTAAAAATAAAAAACTACCACCTTCTAACGTTAGAATTACATAACGTTGCTGATCCACACTTCACTGACTCGTACGTTTGATGTATTTCGACCTCTTATGACTCAGTTGATTGCCTGCACTAAATTTATACTTCTATTCAATTTAACTTACAAGTAAATATGTTAATAATTTTAAATAAAACAAAAAATTTTACAACTTAACGTCATATAAACAATGCTTTTCCTTCTGTATATTTTTATGTCAGTCAACTAGACTATATTGTCTATTTTTAAATCTTAGCATATCTGTAAATGTCCGACCCTTCTTTGGACATATTGTGTTTATACTACTAGCATAAATCAATGTAAAAAAAATAACGAAATATCTGTGATATACACTAACATCTACCCGGATGTATTACTTCCCTTTTGAGAACAAGTTCCAACTTTTATTTTTATTTTTATATCCATCAGCATCATGATACACTTAGTTCTCTAACAGAAGGTATGTAATACATACATCTTACCGGAGTGTTGACCACTATATACAACACTAAATACAAACCTATTGAATTTTAAACATGATATGCTTATATAGAACGGGAACTATATACACATGTATGTGTGTGTGCATATGTATATATGTGTATATGTGTATATGGATGTATATATGTGTGTATACATATATTCAATTTTAATTGTGATTTTAAACGAAATTCATTCTTCAGTCACAATAATGTGACTGAAGAAAGGTAGTGTCTTATACCCAACAAAAAGAAGAAGTAATTAAGACAGGTGCCGTATCGATAAGTGACAGTCGATATGACACATGACTTAATTAACAATTGTCTTGTCAAAAATAATACCGGCCACATGGTGATTAAAATATAACAAATTTAATAATTATTTAATTTAAGCTTTGTTTGCCGTCTTCCTCTAAGTAGGAGATGCGTTTTGGTTTGTATTTGGAAAACAATGTGTAGTTTCACATCTGCAATAATTTACACTAAGAAATAGTGTCAACGTTAAGGTAATATTAAAAATAACATCTTTAATTACGATGATTGTAAAGAATGTTTTTCCATTACAGCAAGTTCTGATGAAGCCCAAAATTATGTGGCGAAAGCTTGACTACTAATAAAAGACACTCACTTTGAAGCACCTGTTTTTTATTGCTTTCTTAATATTGGGTCGTTCCCGGTTACCTTTAACTGTCTGTTGTTTACCAGTAGCCTGTTACTGTCCTTGATATTTTCATATATATATATATATATATATTATATATATATATATATATATATATATATATATATATATATATATATATATATATATATATATGTATATCAATCATCAAATATCGTATTTCGTACACTAGGCTAATTATCTCGTAATTATGAGTCAAAAGAGATATACTTATAAACCATACAAAAAATAGTACAGGGTCATAGCTTCATTGAATTGCGAGAGTCTTACAACTTCACTGCAATAATTTATTTTTAATAAATAGGTAATCAATTGGCATTTAAGCATTTATAGTATTACTAGATAGCTAAAACTGCAAAATTGAAAGAGAAAGTAACAGACAGTTTACCTTTAGTAACTTTTTTATTCAAGCAAATCCTATAGTATATATTGTCTACTTATATTTGTATTTTTTAAAAAATATTTAGAGAAAACCATCTACAGTTTTAACATTTTTTAAGATATATATCTAGCAAACAGGAAGCATCTATTAAAGATACAAATTAGATCAGAATTGACCATTTAAAAACAAAAATAACGACCCTACATTCCATGTGTTTGCTGATCAATAAACAATCATCTAGTGATTATCAATTTTAAAATTTTACACCTTCAAAATAACCAATAAACAACTATTCATTTACTAATACTTTTAAAATTTGACATGTTGAAAATACAAGATTTATTTGTCTGCATACTTGGTATATCTAAATATTTAGAAAAAATTATTTTATTTTTTTATATTTCCTTCGTGAATTTTAGTTGCACATATAGTTACGGCTATGGAAAGACCCCAAGGGCGCACGAAGTCGTTCCCTGGAGAGTCAATATGACCTCCTACCAGATTGCCGGAATGCTAAACGTAATGCTAAGAACAGAAAAAGGGTCCAAGTGCACAATAATTTTTGGAAAGGTTGCTTGTAGGCCATTTTCTGGTTTTCAGATTATACCTACGCGTTCTAAAAGGGCAGTCATGAGATCTGACAAACAGAGAAGTTGAGAGTATTTTCAAAATAAATCTTATTAAAATATACATAGAGGATCAGTTTTAATAGTAGTAGTATATATAACTGTAAAACAAATTTGTTCCGTTATATAAGAATAATTACTATTCCATTATGTTAAAATTGTCCCAAAAATATTGTTAAATTATAATAAAAATCTTATCTAATTAGTATGACGATCATTAAAATTGATAAAATGAAACTATATAAATATAGAATTATGTCTAATGTTTCCTCAGAAAGTGTTTCAAATAAAAATTATAATAAAAATCTTGAAATTTTTGTAGCATATTTTCCCACAGTTCCATATATATTTATCAATCTTTTCGAATAAAATATTTTTGGGGTAATAAATTATTTTTAAAATATTGAATTTGATAGGTTGTGGTTTATGACACAACAAATAGTTTCAGAATAAGTTTGATGTGTTGTTTATTAATATTAGTAAGAGACTAATTTACTTCTTACAATGCTAATCTAACAGACAATTATTATTGTCAAATGAAAGAAATAAGATAATTTACTTGTGTGCTTGTGGTTAGTAAACGTCGGTCCTATGCAACTAATTGTCAACAAAGAAAGGATTACAAAAGTTTAGATTTATGAGATTTATGAGGAGCATTTATGAAACTTAGATGTATACTGAGTACTTATTTCAAAAATTTACAACTAAGGATTTAATTTGTTATATGTAAATATACTCCTAGATCTAGAGAAAATGGGATTGCGACAATGGGAATTACTGCCACAGAACAGACAAACATGGAAGGCAATAGTAACCGCGGCAAAGACTTACGAAGAGTTGTAGCGCCATTGATGATGATGATGATGATGATGAAATATACTGTATAACTATTTATACGGATGTGAAATATGGATCATAAAGGATAATATGACGGACATTTTAGGATGTACGTTGAAAAATTAAGGCAAATATCGAGCACAAATTTAATAATCAAATCTTGCCCAAGTACTTTAGCTTTCTACAGCATCATCAGGGGCATCTGAAATAAGCCAAGAAAAGTTTTTTTAAATGAACAAAATTAATAATCTCGAAGTTAATGGATGATAAATTTTTTTTGTGATTTTAGACTTA